CAGGGAACTTTTCTTTCTGGTGCCCTTTTGCTTGAATTCTGGGTACTGGGTTATATATTTCAGAGGCCCTGCTGACTTCTGAGTTTCTTCAGGAACCAGAACTTGTCTTACACGCCAGGTGTGCCAGGCGCCCGGGCCCTGGCCTGTGTCCGTGCCCAGAGCCCAACTAATCTGGAGAAAGGGTCGTGTCTGCCTCTGTCGGAAGAGAGGGGACTCCAGCAGGCTTCTTGCCCTTGTTCCTTCCAGGGCGAGAGCTGCTCCCATCAAGCAGCCCTGGAATCTGAGTGTCCACAGCATCCTGACATTCTGGTTCCAGTTCTTGGAGCTGATGACGAGGCATAATCGTCTTTGAGCAGGCCAAACGTGTGTCCTCCAATTTGTGTGCTGTCCGAGTGAATATCTCACTTTTCAATCTGTACAGAACTGGTCTGCTCAGATGTGTCTCAGTAGAAATAACCCAGTAAATTGGGTGTGTGCAAGTCTATGGCAGCTCTTGTCATCACCCTCTGCTTCAAGTCCCAGCCCTTCCCGTCACTGTGCGCAGTGCAGTGGGTCTGCCTGGGTGTTGTCACTCCCTACTCACGTGTGACTCATGGTCCTGGGAACGGAGTGCAGCTCCCCGCCTGTCACCCTTCATCCTCCCCCACACGTAGGTGATGATGGAGCTTTGCTGCAATAGAGTGTATGGTATGTTTCAGGACTCTGTGGTCTTTGTGGATGTGGCTGTGAACTTCACCCCGGAAGAGTGGGCTTTGCTGGATAGCAGTCAGAGGAACCTCTACAGAGATGTGATGCTGGAGACCTGCAAGAACCTGGCCTCAGTGGGTAAGGACGGCTCCATCCCTTCCCTAGTCTTGACGCAACACATGTTTCTTACAACTGTCTGATTTTGCTGGGGCCGAGGAATGGGAGTACATTGGAGGAGGGGTAGACATGATCCAAGCCTTCATGGAACCTACGTAGAGTCACATAGCTTTTCCACGAGAAAAGTTTTATGTGTTAACTTGCTCTGTTCATCTTGATTAAGGTCTGAGACTCCCTAATTTAATAAATGGGAATGCGGTCTCTGGTGAGTGCTGTTTTGTGGTTTTTACTCCTGTGGAAGTTACACGGTGGCGAATACACATTGGACACCTTAATATTGCTGCACTTAAATCCTCACTTAACGAGGAGGGATGGCGGCAGAGTAGGGGATCCTGAACTCACCGCGTTCCCCGGACACTCTGAGGCAATAGGAACGTGTACTCCCACTAAGTCTGCGATGCCTGGAAAACTGGCCGGACAGGTCTTTCGAAGCTAACATGAAGGCTGCATGGAAAAGGGTAGGCAGGGGGGAGATGTGGTTGGAAACCAAACCCCCGGTGTGGCTGTCCACAAGTGGGCGGGACATCCCAGTTACCGAGAAGCTGGGGAATCAGTCCCCACACCGTGCACCCCTGGCCCGGGGGACTACAGTGGAGAGACCAGGACCCATAACACCTGCCTTTGAAAATCAATGAGCCTTAAGTTTTGGGGGTGAAACCTCACAAGGGCTTCACTCTAGGCTGTATCGTTTGGCAGAAGGTCCAGCAGAGGGGCAGCCTTTTGAAAATGGCCTTAGTTGTATGTGATAGAGATTTATTGATTAATTTTAGGACACACACTGGAGGCTCAGGGAACTTCCTCCAGGAACAGACGTGTAGGCAGGTGTCATTTCCCTTGCCCCCCTTCACCCTAGATGGTCAGGTGCTTGTGGGAGCCAGTTCTGATGCTCTGCGTCTATGCTGCCAACACCAGTTGCCACACGACAGCATCCCCCCAGAGGACTCCCACCGCCCCCAGGATACAAAATCAATGTACAGAAATCTGTCGCATTCTTATAGACTAATAATGAAGCGGCAGAAAGTTAAATTAATGAAGAATCCCCTCTTACAATTGCACCAAAACCAATACAATATCTGGGAATAAGCTCAATCAAAGAGGTGAAAGAACTGTATCCCAAAGAGGGTAAAACACCAATGAAGGAATTTCAAGACAACACAAAGAAATGGAAAGACTGTAGTACCCCAAGCAATGTAGAGATTTAACGCAATCCCTGTCAAAATTCCAACAGCACTTTTCACACAGGTAGCACCGACATACTAAAATTTGTATGGAACTACAAAAGACTTCAAAAGCCAAAGCAATCTTGAGAAAGGAACACGAAACCGGGGGTATTCCAATTCCAAATTTTGAGTTCTATTACAAAATGGTAGTCATTAAAACAGGATGATACAGGTACAAAAATAGAAACAGAGATCAGTTGAGTGGAACGGAAAACCTAGAAATAAGCTCACAATTATATGGTCGATTAACCTTTTTTTTTTTTTTTTTTTTTTTTTTTTTAAGTTTATTTATCTTGAGAGAGCGCTAGAGTGAGTGCAGGGGAGGGGCAGAGAGAGAGGGAGAGATAGATCCCAAGCAGGGTCTGCACTGTCAGCAAGGAACCTGATGCAGGGGTTGAACTCACCAACTATGAGGTCATGACCTGAGCCAAAATCAAGAATCAGATGCTTAACTGACTAAGCCACTCTGGCACCTCGTCAATTAATCTTTGACAAAGGAGGAAAGAACATACAGTGGGAAAAATATAGTCTCTTCAACAAATGGCACTGGGAAAACCGGACAGCCACATGCGGAATGAAACGAGACCACATTCTTCACCACACACAAAAATAAACTCAAAGTGGATTAACGACCTAAATTTGAAACCTGAAACCATAAAACTTTCTGAAGGGAGTGTAGGCAGTTCTCTCAGACATTGGCTATGGCAACATTTTTCTAGATCTGCCTCCTGAGGCCAAGAAAATAAAAGCAAAAATAAACTATTGCAACTGCATCCAAATAGAAAGCTTCTGCACAGTGAAGGCAACAAGCAACAAAAGTAAAAGGTAGGGGCGCCTGGGTGGCGCAGTCGGTTAAGCGTCCG